TCTTTATACAGAGTGTCAAAAAATGCGTAACGTTTGTAAAAATATGTCCAGTTTCAGGAGTAAGAATGAAGCATGTGTGTTTAAAATAAATAATATCTTTATATTCCTATAAGAAATGTTTAACTTTAGTAAAAGGTGAATAAAACATGTAAATAGTACCTCTAAAACTGTATTAATTATAAAATATTTGTGTGGCACTGGCAGCAATTAAGCCCTAATAAACTTGTTTCTACGTGTTTTGTTACAATGCCATCTGTTTTATCTCTGATAGGATGAAGTAAAATAAAAAAAATCTAATAGTTTTATAAGTAGAACACACCTCTCTTAGGAGGTAAAGAAACGGTAAAATAAGACTGGAACTCATCAAAACTTATAAAAACCTCCCATTTGCGCATGTAGTTCTGACTAGTGTCCAGATGTTGGCGCTGTTTACGCAGCAGCGTCTTTAGACCTCTGCTCTGCGGCTCAAGCAGCAGCAGAAGAAGAAAATCAAGATGGCGGAGCGCGGCTACAGTTTCTCTCTCACCACATTTAGGTAAACTAAATGAAAATATTGTTCCAAACTGTAAAAGGCAGCCAAACTTGTGATGTTGAATCATTTCCACTCTTTAAAGATGTGATCTGAAACATCCTCGGCGTTAAATGTTTGACGCAGAGAGGCGTTTTCGGAGCGGCGGTAGTTGCTGCACTGTCATTGTCTGTGACTGTGTGAATCGGGTGTTCGCTAGGCTAACTCTCCAAATCAAACTTTCAGGATGCTCCATTAGAGTATGAAATATTTAAAAATATCGATGAGTATTTTTTTATTGCTAATCAAAAACTGAGCAGGTAGAGATGATACCGATATAAATGCTAACCTCCAGCTAGCATAACTGCGATGAGTCATTTGTTTCTGAGTTTACTTTCAGTTTCGTCTCGAACCAGACTTATTTCTCATTCTCGTGGTGAAATTGTTTTTTTTTTTTGTTTTTTTTAGCCCCTCAGGTAAACTGGTTCAGATCGAATATGCTTTGGCTGCTGTAGCTGCTGGAGCCCCTTCAGTGGGCATCAAAGGTAAGAATCATGGAAATCTGCTCTTTGCATGATAAACAAATGATTTATTCTGTCTTTTTAAATGTGCGTGTCACTTCTGGTTTATTACATTGCTTAAAATTATAAGGCTTTTAATCTAAAGCTGATTGAAATATTGATATTTAAGTTGAATGTTGTACATTTCAGCTTCTAATGGAGTTGTGCTGGCGACTGAGAAGAAACAGAAGTCAATTTTGTACGATGAGCAGAGTGTCCACAAAGTGGAGCCCATCACTAAACATATAGGCATGGTCTACAGTGGGATGGGACCTGACTACAGGTGGGTGGTCTCGTATGCAGTCTTTAAATATCAAAAAAATTAAATAACCAAATAAGTTTGTTAAAAGCCTGAGTTACCCAGACGATTCCTTTTTCTAAAAGGTTATAAATCTGAAATGGGCAAGTTCTGTTATTTTTAGACCACGAACTCATAAGGAGAAACCAATAGTTTTTAAATTCTAATCCATGTTATTTTATTTCTCCTATGGTTTTTTTTGCACAAACAAATAAAATATACACACATAAAACGATCGTTTAAAAGTTGAAATGAGAAAAAAATAATCCACGAGAGGTCTGGTATTCTGAGTCTGAAAAAATGTGAAATTTCATGTGCGATGTCTAGCTTACATTGCTTGTCCAGTTTAAATAATGACGGGACGTTTTGCATTAATTTGATTTTGTCTACAGGTCATGTTATGTGTTGCCAAACTCAGTTTTTTTTTTTTTTTTAGTTTGTATTTAGGACTCGGTCAGTAATTGTGTGAGATGAGAGTCTGTCATTTTGCATTTTCATTGTCCAGAAGGTCACCTGTTGGTTAGCTGACTCAAATAGACGTGCAGTTAAAGTAATGGGTTTGTCACCCTGACAGGGTTTTAGTGCGACGAGCCCGTAAGCTGGCGCAGCAGTACTACCTGGTGTACCAGGAGCCGATACCCACAGGCCAACTGGTCCAGAGGGTGGCCTCTGTAATGCAGGAGTACACACAGTCTGGGTGAGTTTACTCAGACACACACATGCATTTCCATCAGATTTACTGGTACGGTTAGAAAATACAGAGAGCAGCCAGACTTGTTCCACTCACTTGTTTTTGGTAACTCTAAGCTTCTGAAAATATTGCATTAAATCTGTCAGTTGATTGAATTATTATGTCAGGTTTTAATGTGTTTGTTTTTTCCCCCCCTATAGTGGTGTGCGTCCATTTGGTGTGTCATTGCTGATAGCAGGATGGGACGAGGATCACCCCTACTTGTTTCAGTCTGACCCCTCTGTATGTTGCTTTCATATCAGAAAGGCAGTAATAGTAATGTTTTTCTTAGAGAAACTAAAGTAACAAAAGAAGAGAAAATTCAGAAAGAGGCTAAATGTTTAATCTTGTGTTTCTGTCTGGCAGGGGGCATATTTTGCGTGGAAAGCCACAGCTATGGGAAAGAACTATGTCAATGGAAAAACATTCCTTGAGAAAAGGTACACATTTAAAAAAGGGGGGCCAGTTTTTGTGTTTTAAAAAATCATTTGTTTGAAATTGTTTCATGTGGATGTATAGAAGTTTTCTGGTTAACTATAGTCAACCTTGGCAATCAGAATTCAGATGTTAAATATATTTGTAGGAGTTCTTCAAATCGCAATAAACTTGTAGTTTTTTTTCAACCTAAATGACTTGAATTAAGCTTTTTAACTGATCTTGATTGTTTCTTACGCTATAGATACAACAATGACCTGGAGTTAGAGGATGCCATCCACACAGCCATCCTTACATTGAAGGTAGATTCTTGTTTTTTTTAAGCATCTCAATCGTCTGTGTTTGTATTGTCTTAACGTTTTTAAAGGGATCCACGATTAGTTGTAACGTTAGACTTTATTTGATAAACATCCATTAATGGCTCAGTCTGTGTTAAAATATATATTTTAAAAATTTACAAAACTGAACAGTTAATTTTACAGTTAAAATAAACATTTATCAAATAAAGTCTAACGTTACAACTAATAGTGGATCTCTTTAAACGGATTACTGACACTCTCTGGCTTTTGTGTTTCAGGAGAGTTTCGAGGGTCAGATGACAGAGGAGAACATCGAGGTGGGGATTTGCAACGAGGCTGGTTTTAAAAGACTCACCCCGGCTGAGGTGAAAGACTACCTGTCTGCCATCGCATGAACCCACCCTCCTCGATGGCCACTTTACAGGACAGAAACTCAGCGGCACAGTAGTCGAAAGTCACGTGGGACATTTTTGTAAACAAATTATTTAGATACAGTAGTTTGCCTTAACTACATTACAGTTGAAGTGTTTTTTATGCTCTACAAACACGGGTTTTCAGTTTGTCACCAAATGTCAGTGTATACCAGTTTGCCCAATGAAATTGTTGCCACTCATGAATACATTAATTAAACTGATTGTAGTTGTGATGTGACAGATGATTAAAAATGCTGATTGAATTTACTCCACATATACAATAGTAATTAAAAACAAGGCTATTTGCTACTGTGCTGAAAAATTCCAGCTCTGATGAGTAAAATCTCAAGTCTTTCATTGAATCCTCCTTTTTTATTGCTCATTATTGTTGTTAAGGCAGTTTGTGGGGTTTGGAGATGAAGTGCTGATTATCAATTTTTAGATTTTTATTTTATTTTTTACATAAAAGTGTGGCGTGTCACCTACTGTTGCACAAATAGCAAAACATTTGCATAATAGAAATCAGACTTCATTTACCAAAGAGCACTTATTGAAATCCTGTTAATCCTCAAAGAGTTTGAAGGTGAATAAACAAAAATAAGCAAGGATAGGAGAATCTAATGGACAGGCTTTAGATTTTCACTCAGGATCTGTTTCCTGTAACTGATCTATTCTTATTTTTCTGGTGAACAGTTCTTAAATTTGCAATTTATTTTCTGTTTTTTGTCACTTCAAATAAAATGTGGTGAGCTGTTGAGTCGTTGTTTTCAATGAATAACTTGTTTAGAAATAAATTTTAAAATTAGGCCAAAAAAAAAAAAAGAGGCGCGTACACTTCGGAGCAAAGCGCGCTCCTCTCTACCGGAACACCATATCGTATTATGTATCCCTCCGCTTGTTTATTTCTCAACAACAGCCGATTTTGACGAAGTAATGTCTATAACATAGACTACATGAAAGCGTCACATTGATAATGTGTTGAAAAGGAGATTATTTTCATGTTTTATTCAAACTGACATACTGGCAAAAGATCTATTTTCATCAGCGGATGGTGATAGCTCACCCCATAACCTCCTGTGACGTTTGTGGCGCCAGAAATCAAGGGCTTAGAAAGGAGGTAGAGCTACTTCTGATGGAGGTTTGAAATAATTTCCTTCACGCTGACTTGGCTGTAAAAGAAAGACTTGACGGAATTTCCCCTTCAACATTTTATGGTCGTAGAGTCAAAATGGTGGTCTTACGCAGCAGTGGCACCGTCGGCGTTGAGCCGGAGGCAACTACTCCGAAGAGGAGGACGATTGAATTGGATACAAGCTCCGAGTTTCTGTCGCTGGTTCCCGCTGTGTCGCAGAGAAAGTCCCCTCGGTCCACCCGGGGACACCGGTCCACACGGTCCCCGAATGATAGTTTCAGCAGCCCTGAAAACAACTCTGTGAATGTAAGGACATGTATGCAGACAGCTGGTAACCGAACTGGAGGACAGGTTTAGTGGAGAAGTTGTTATTGTTGAGTGCTACATTTAGCTAGCGTGCTAAAGCTCAAGGTTTATAGCTTCAGTTTTAACATTACTGTGGCTCTCTGATTCATACAGTTTTAAACAATTTGCACTTTTGGGCTGGTTTGCGTAAGCTACACGGGTGTAATTAGTTTCTTCATTTAAATGATATGATGATAAGCTAAAACAGACTGTTGATAAAGTATCTCAAGTTGTGTGATGCTTATTACAGTGACACATTCAGTAGTTTCTTTTTTCACTTAAAAATGTAATCAGTGTTAAACCCGTAGAACAACTTAATGAGTCTAAAGTACAAATAATTATTTTACTTTTTAAATTTTACTGCTCAATTTTCAAGAGGTTGTACTGTGTTTTTAGTTCACAAAGTTTATTTGCACATTTGTTGGGCTAAGAAAGTATTATTTTCAGAAACTTTTATCATAACAGTAGACACGCACATTAATACATTAAACAAAATGTCTGACATCAGTTGAAAGCCCATATTCTTAAGTTCACCATTATTAAGTGGAAGTCCATAAGATCCCAAAAGATGATTAGACTCTGCTTAATGTATTAAATGTCACTTATTCCAGCAGGTTATTTGAATTCCTATTAAATTGTATAATTGTTTAATTTGTGACTGGGACAGGGTGGATTCAGTCACTCTCTCAGGACCAGAGGACAAAGAGTTAAATCCATGGTTTCTTTTGCTGAAATAAGACGAAGGAGAAGCACCCCTGTGCATGAAGACAAAGCTGAAGGCTGCTGCACCAGGTAATAAAGGACCTCGAGCTTCACCTGTTGTCATACATCAGCTCTGAAGAGCCAGGAGTGGAGTTTCTCTACAGTTTCTAGTTCATACACTTCACAGCCAGAGCTTTTCTGTATAAGCTAATCTTTACTACTAGAGATAATCGGAAGTATGGTAGTTTACATGAAGACCACCAATGATGGTAGTCCTTTTGGAAAACTGTAGTTTCGAAGCATGCAAAATTACAAAAAAATAAATTAATTAAATATACAAATATCCTTATGGTACGAATGACAAATAAACAGCACCAAAAGTAGGGAAATGCATGTTTAGTAGATTATTTTTTTGTTGTTTACTTCTTGGCAGTAAATCTTAAACCTTTGAAAAGCCTATTAATTCCTCCGTTAAATGGTACCACATTTGTAAGGAACATGCATTTGTGGGATCAGCAGTAGAGCTGAGTATGTAGGTTGCACACATGAAAAACATTGTCAAATGTTCTCTAACAAACAGCTTATTTTATTGTTGCTATTGACACTTGATTTGAGCTTCTGGTGCCCCCATGTGCTGCCAATCAGATTATAAGATTTGTTGCCAAGAAGCATTGTTGCAACAAAGAAATAATCTACCAAACACAAATTACCTTGTGTTTTGTGCTAAAGATACTCATATTTGTGTTTTGTCTCCAGGAAATCTTCCAGGCTGCAGAGGGAGGCAAAAGCATCCACTGACAAGCAGCAAGGAGGTATAGAACATAACGGCACAGAAACTCACAGCATAATGAGCTTTATTCTGTGTATTTGGAGGATCTGTGCCAGAGATGTAAAACTGATATTTCTTTGACAATTAGGTTGCTAGCTTTCACTGCAGCATCACTAACCTCTCAGCTCCAAGTGAAAACATTTGTTTCATCAGATTCACCAGCAATTAGTTTATCTTCTCGTGTTTCAGTTGCTGAGTCTCATAGTGGTGCTGAATATTATATTCCTTGAAGACTGAAACTTGCTTCATACAAACTAAGCACACAGGTTTACCGTTCACTTCTGTAAATAAATAGGAACTTGTCCATGTTTCTTGGAAAACTTGTCGCTGTGTCCACTTTTCACCTTTTTGACAACATTTTTGATGATGAGGATGCCACAGGGAAAATCTGTTTACATCACAAGGCAACAAATAGAAGAGGATGGTGCGATGCTGCCACCTTCTGGTTTGTTCTAAGGGTGTATTCACACCTGACACATTTTGGTCTGCTTTAAATGGACCAGAGTTCGTTCCCGCTGTTAGTCCGAACCTTTTATGCAGGTGTGAATACAAAAATGTGAACCCTGTTGTGGACCAAACAACTGGAATGAAACCTAAACGAACTCTGGTGCGGGTTGCTTCTGGTGGAAATACAGACCGGCCCCAAACCGAGCCAACTACAGGAAACATGCTCCTTTTTGGACTTTACGAGCCAAGAAATGTGGTAAAATTTAGCTGTTCAGTTTTGCTAACGGTACCACTGTTCTACAAACAATGGTCCATTGTGAGTCAGGGCATGCTGAGCATCTCGTCTCCTTTGGGTTGTGGTACACATTTGCCAACGCCGTCCCAAAATTAGAAGTATATTATTGTGAAACTGCAGTTAAATGAGCTGCTCTTGAAATTCTAAATGGTATTGCAGTTTTAATGACAACACCATCTTTCTCTCCAGGTCTGTCCTCTGTCTTGCCTCCATCGTTTCTGTCCAGTGGGAGCAATGATTGTAACCCGCGTGTAGGGATGTGTACCGAATTCGATACTTTTTTATGCACAGACCGAATTCTGTCGGTACAACCGAGAACCTATTTCACATAACACCAAACGGTACCATGTTTCGGTACCTAAACACATCATTACGATCGGTTTGGTGTAAAGGGCTCGACACACGGGGAGCGACAAACTACAGCYAWTAACAGCTGTCATCGCAGCCAGGGTGAAACCCGACACACGGGATGCGATAGCGATCGCAGCGTTGCGAATCGCGCTCTCAGGTCGCTTGTCTTCACGAAATTTGATTGGTTCTTGACTGAAGGTGGGTGTGCATTACGGACGTGTAAACTAAACAAATATTGCGATGCTAATGATATTGAAAAACAAACACACATCAAGATACAGTTTTATGAGGAAAAACTTACCATAAACTTCACCCTGGTGCCAATAAATTCCCACAAACTTTTTAGTAATCCCTTGGTGAAAGTGTTAGCTAACGGCAGTGTGTAGCATACTCTCCTCTCATTGGTCAGTCAATGAAACCCTCGCTGATTGGTTGTACGCTAAGCGACAGCGACAAAAGTTGAACATTTTTCAACTTTCATATGTCGCGTCGCAAGCTCACGTGTGCACATGTACATGTACGAGCGCAAAATTTCACATGCACTATTTTCGCTGGTCGCTTAGCTGGAGGAGGGCAAGCGATTGTCGCCTCACCACACAGGCTCCATAGGAAATGAATGGAGAGCGAGCAACGTCGCCTCCCGTGTGTCGAGCCCTTAAGAGTGGTGAGTTTTCCATGTTTGTCCTGAACGCAGGGCGTAATGACGTCAGCAGCTGCTGGTTCAGTAAACAGAGCTCAGTCTGAACGTAGCTTGAAAGCCTTGCAGCTCCTGGAGTAAAACTTGCCAAACAGACCACCTCTGAATTATCTGGTGGATAAATTATTTGTGAGCACGACGTTCGCTTGCTCAAAGTAAATAAAGTACCGCCACTTTCTTTATATCATTTGCCATTAAACAGAGACCGGCAGAGGAAAACAACAGAGGTGCTTCCTGAAAGTCCGAACACGTCTGACCTGAAAGAGCACAAGCAGCTAACTTGAAGTGTTGGACGTGTTTTGGATGCTCAAAACGTACCTTGAATACCTTTTTATTTATTTTAACTCCATCCTCTTTTGCTTATGTGATTTAAACTTATTTGCCTGACATGGACCTCCATCACACAATTTTTCTAACAAGGAAATAACATCAATAGAAACACGAGGAGCTGGATTTTAATTAATGTGTACAATAAGACAAAACAGTCTTGTTGTTTTCAACAGTTTTCACTTTAAAGAAATAAGTTACACAAGTGATGTTACAATACAAGTTGGATGTTGTCTTGATATTTGTTAATTTTATATATTGAGAAATATGTTAAATAAAAAATAAATAAAAGTTTATTATTGAAAAAACAACACACACACAAAGTACCGAAAATTGGTACCGGATATTGGTACCGAATCGATTCAAACGTCAAAGGTACCCATCCCTACCTGCGTGGCTTTGTTTGTAAATTATAGTCCGCCTGCAAAGAAACACAATGTGAAAAAAAAAAAAGGAGTCCTCTTTTGGTCCAGACCAAACAAGTGGACCAAAGGACTTTCCTGGTCAGTGTCATTAACATACAGTGCGCCCCTAGTGGACAAATTAGAAATAGGTGTTTTATTGAAAACTTCCAGCTCATGACTTTTATGTACATTGAAATTTATCCAGTGGGACAAACTTGGTAACAAATGACACCTCCGGTCTTTGCTGTATGTATCCCCTCCCCTCAGATGTTCCAGATGAAGTGGAAGGGTCATCCACTCCCAAAAGAAGTCACTTTAACCTACAGAGTCGAGAAGTGGAGGAGGAGGAGAAAGATGGCTCAGTACGACGAAGCTCCCGAATCACCAGATACAAATTACACTCCCGTAATCAGTCCGTTCTCTACGATCGTCTTATCACCAAGTGAGTCGAATAATGTGCATTCCATTTATTTAAACTCTTTCCACCACTGCTTCATATGAAGATGTTTGTAACAATGTAGTCGTTTATGTTTTCTGTGTTGCTAATGTGGAGATTAACCATAAAAGATCTTCTAAGTTCTTAATTTCACTGTTTTGTCAGCACTGCTGAAGCTGTTCTCCAAAAGATGGACGATATGAAGAAAATGAGACGTCGGCTGAAGAGCAGAGACCGAGATGCTGAAGAAGAGGTAATAATAAACACCAAACCTGATGCTCTGTGAGACGCAGCTCCTTGTTGTTTGGATCATTTGTGTTAACTCTTAAAGAGGATAATTTTGCTGTTTGTTCTTGGCAGCTGGATGTGTTCAAAGACAGAATAAGGATGTCTCTGAGAACAAATGCTGAGAGTAAAAATACTGAGCAAAAGAGCGCAGGTGAGTCTGATTTAGTATCTGTTTTATGTACACAACCTTTTGCACAAGTCTGTTGTTTCAGTTTGTAAAACCGATTCACAGCACTCACTACTCAACAAGTTAATTTCAGTAATACTATTTATTAAGTGATGATTATTTAAATATTTTATATAAAGGGTTATACTTAACTTTATGAGTTTCTTATATGAGCACATTCTGTTGTACTGACCTTATTAACAAGCTTTTTCATAATTCAGAGGAGGAGGAGGAAGATGGTGATGATGAGGAAGAGGAGGAGGAGGAGGAAGAAGAAGATGGAGAGGAGGAAGATGAAGATGGTGAGGATGAGGATGAGGAAGAAGAGAACCAACAACGATACGACTTCCGACAGAGGAAGGCTATGGTTCGCTACCAGGCCCCACAAGAAGGTACCGTTTCTGTACCGATCAGTGAAGTTTCACTTTTCTGACTGAACATTTTGTATTAATGAAGATAAAACAGTTGTTCAGATCTACGAATCAGTTCAATAACTTTCTTGTTAGATTAATGATTCAGTCAGTTATTTATCTGTTTAAATCAGTGGATCAGTCCAGTCATCATCTGTTCTGATCCCTGAATAAATTCAGTTATTGAGTTTCTTGTTTAGATCAATTAATCAGTTCAGTTTTCTGATTTATGTTTATGAATCAGTTTAATTATTGATGACTAATGTTAGATTCAGCACAAAGAGAAGGGGCTCTTATTTTTAATCCAAATACACAAGCTCTTTGAAAAGACCTGAAAATAATGACAAAAATATTTTTAAAGTTTTAATTTCTAGCCAGTCATGAAAACGTTTCTCTTGTATAGTTTAATATATTTAATATTTGTTGCTCTTTTCAGAACACAGAGAGACGAGGAAACGCACCATGTACTTTAAGGAGGACTCGCCTCCCACCAGACGCAGGTTCAGATTCAGCTCCACAGCTCCCAGGAGCCCCTACAGTAGGAGGAGAACCAGCAGGTTGGCATTACAGAATATATTCATCAAAAACAGAAAATGACATTTGGATGATTAATTTGATTTCTTAGCAGTCTTGGAGAGGTTATGGATATATTCAACAAAATTGTATATGTTGTATCGATTGGTAAAAATGTTCAAACAAAACAAAATCAGTTCTTCTAGTCTTATGGCTGAGCTAGCGCTGCAACTAATGATTATTTTAATAATTAAATAATCGGTTGATTTTTTTTTTTATATATATAAATTCATGCATCAGAGAAAAAAAGAAACATTTTTAATTTTATCCTTCTCATTCCAAAATAGAACACTTGGACTAACAACAAATCTCACAAAAAACAAGTTGCTGTTAGAGTATTCTGTTACTATAATATTAAATATTAATTTTATCATTTGTCAAGTAGCTTCAGTAAAAATAAATGTACACAAAAAATATATGCAAATGTGTGCTAGATCCCGAAAGTCTCTAAATATTTTTTCTTCATGAGCTTTGTAAAACGTGTCCTTTGAGGAAGGAGTGTACCCTGGATTAAAAGTGTGAACTATTGTAGTAAAACCTTTCAGTCAAGACAGCTGCTTGCTGTGGGGTCCATGATGACTTTATCATGCAGCCTGTCATTGTTAGACAGTGTAGTATGAGCATATATAATAGAATAATTTACAATCTCAATAAATGCCTTGTTTTATTTTCAGTATTAGGTTAAGGCAAGTTAGTAGCCCAACGTAATTAAACACATACACATTGATCTTTGCAGTGTCTTCACTCAGACATCGTCAGCAATTTAAAACTTAAAGTTTAATCATTAAATTATTTTTGTATGCAAGTTAAATTTGTTAAGACATGCATTTAAACAGCAGCTTTAAATGTAATTAGCTTAAGCTACTTAAACTGAATAAAAAGTAACATACTCTACCACTGTCAATAATAGGGCTGTGTATTGGCAAGAATTTGGCGATACGATACATATCATAACAGAGGGGTCACGATACGATATATCCAGATATATTGCGATACTGTAAGCAAGGCGATATATTGRGATATATTGCGATTTTTTTTGTRCAAAAATTCTATTAAATAAAAACCTTACTGAAAAAAAAAAAGAAAAGAAAAGCTAATGTTTACTTACAATGCCAATGCCACCCTTACTCTCTGGCGCTCAAGAGGTAGAGGAGCCAAATGGCTGGCTCACTGCTGCCAACTAGTGGTCAGAGGCTGAACTACAACATAAAAATGAACGGTTGGCAAGAAGGTTGACATTTTAAACCTTCATTAAAAATCGATACAGGGCTTTAGAATATCGATACAGTATCGGGAAATGAAATATCGCGATATTTCAGTGTATCAATATTTTCTTACACACCTAGTCAATAACCAGCTAACAATCAAACACCAGCAGGGTCAAGTAAACGGCTCTGCAACATGGCGAGGGCCACATAAATCGCTCGACACAACAAATCCATAATGAAATTTGTTGCCAACCCTTTTACTAATAATTTTTATGGATTTTATTGGTTCGTTGTTGCAGCTCTAGCCTGCACACAAACACTTTTGTTTATTCTGAGGGGCATTAGTTTAGTCTTTAACAGCTTTTTAACTGCTCCATTTTCAATACTAGTCAAACTGATTTCAGTTCACAGTAAAATGACATTTGAAATGTACCACTTGTGCTTTCATTCAAAACCATCCCAAAGTTCCTATTTATTCTTTCTTTTCTGATTGTTTTGCTTCCACCATCAGGAGTTTTTCTGAGAGGTAAGACCCTCACTGTCTTTTTTTTTTCTGTATTCCTGCTTTATTCTTTCTTTGTCTTCTGGTGCTGCCTGTTTTTGATATTGTGGCAAAATTTTCGTGCTTTGGTATTATTACTTGCTTTGTTGTAAGAGGGTTTGTAGTTATCTACTGGTTTTCCTATTTACTATGAAGTGATGTGTACATTTCCTGAGCTGTAATGTTGTGAAGAACATTATGTAATATCTGGAGGGAAAACTTGCTTTACACATCTCCTTTTCTTCTTTACTCTGTCACAATCACTGTCCATCACCTGTGCTATGAATACTCTAAAAAGTCCTTGGTTTCTATTCTGATCAAACTTCTTAACAAACACACAATGCACTAAGGATCCCTGTCTGCCTAAAGCTCTAAACGGGTTCTATGCCCGCTTTGAGGGTCCTAACACCCCATCAGCCCCAGACTCTCCCCATCACATGGAGAAGAGCCCCTCAGCTTATCCCCAGCTGAAATAAGGAGGATTAACTCCCAAGGGATTGCACTGATCAGCTCTATGAAATCCTGGCAGACATTTTGAATTCCTTCTTCATTCAGGCAGCTGTCCCCATCTGCATGAAAACAGCCATCATCCTTCTCCCCAAGTGTGCTGCAGTGGCAGGTCTGAATGACTATCGATCAGTAACCCTTACACTGAGTCACATAATGCTTTGAGAAGCTGATTCTAGCCCTCAATAAAATCACCATCTACGTCACTGGGAACCCACACCAGTATACATACTGTAAGAACCGATCCACTGAGGACACCATATCCTCTGTGGTCTACACAACTCTCACCCACCTAGAGCAGAAGGATTCCTACGTCTGTATACTCTGTGAACCATCAGCTTTTAACACAATGAACCTCCAGACCCTAGTTAACAAACTGCAGACACATGGATTAAGCTCTTCTCTCTGCAACTGGGTCCTGGACTTCCTGACCAACAGGCCGCTGTCATTGAAGATCCACGTCATCTCCTCATTAATCACTGGCTCACCACAGGGCTGTGTGCTGAGTCCACTTCTGTTTACGCTGCTCACGTATGACTGCTCACCCAACCACCCAGACTGTCACGTTGTAAAGTTTGCGGACGACACGGCAGTGGTTGGATGCTTTACGGATGATAAGACCAGCTACAGGCAGGAGGTGGAACACCTGGAGGGTTGGTGCCAAAAAAACAAGTTTATAAACACAAGGAAGACATAGGAGATGATTGTGGACTTCATGAAGGGCAGCAATTCCCATCCACCCCTCCACATCTGAAGTAGTATTGAGCTACAGGTGTCTGAGTATGCAACTGAGCAATGACCTCACCTGGAAAAATAACAATCTAGTTATAAAAATGATCCGTATACCAGTTTATCCTGAACACATTCAGAACAGTACATCTCACCTGCCAGTAAACCGTTTCATGGGAGACACATTTGTTTACGTTTACCTTCATACATATTGCTCTGAGGTTTAACCAAGACCATGGGTACTGAGTTTCATTTTCTCTACATGTAAGCATGTGAAGTAAATGACAACAAAGTATCCTTGATCCTGAAAATAAATACAAATAAACTGAACCTGTTTTTAACCTTTGATGGGGTTTGGAGTTGCTCATATTGTAGGTCTAATCAACATTTCCTTACTAAATGTTTCGTAACAGTGATGTCTGTGTTTTTATTGGTTGAGTAAAAACAATTTTTGTTTTTTCTCTTATCAGTATTTTTTGTCTGTTGCACAGAATGAGATACCAGCTGCGTTGTTTTAAACATTTTGCCATCGTCTATTCTCAGGAGGAGACATGCCATCCACAGTAGTGACTCCACATCTTCCTCAGATGACGAGGAAAATTTTCAAAGACGCAGGAGTAAGAACAGGAGCAGGTCTGTCAACAGGTGAGAGCATCACAAACAGGTATCTGACTGAAGAAATCCAGATGTTGTAAGTAATCTTTAGTTTTTGCTGTGAAAATGCAACGCAGAGAGCTGACAAATGGTTTATAAAAATCCTGATTACATGTTAGAAGTTATCCTGTGATTTGACATTCAGGTCCCGCAACAGTGTGAGAACAGCAAGTCTTTGATTACTGAATAAAGAAGGATTTATTTTTTCACATTTTTCTCTTGAAGATGTCTTCCCATGAATTTATTGAAAGACGACCTTCTGGGGATCCACAAGGACAGGATGAAAATTGGAGCCAGCCTGGCTGATGTGGACCCTATGCACATAGACAAAACTGTACGTTTAACTCATGAGGAGAAAAACTAATAGATCTAAGAAAATTAAGTAGGTATTTTCAGTTAAAAAGTTAGGTTAAATTAACCATAATGTTAAAGGGATCTCAGACTACTTGCACATGTTGGCATTAATACAGTATTTTGTATGTGTCCATTTAACTACAAGTTGTTTTTGACACATGAAAAGTCCAAATTTTCAGATTACTTAAATAATTGTCCATGTATGTTATATTTTCAACACAAGCACGTTACCATTTTCTTACTGATGCAATGTATTTTGGGGATGATGATAGTGAGAGCCCAAAGTTATACTATTAGACTATTAGTTTCTGCACATGTGGGTTGAAATGATTAAATGTGACATGATGTTTACTAAAGTAGCTCTTAAGCTATCACCAAATATATATATCACATTAGCTGCCAAGCTAATATTCTTAAATAAAATATTACCGGTAGCTCAGGAACTAATGCTAAAGCTGAGGTAAACCTTCCCGAGCAAGCTCTGTTGTTCTCTGTAGCAGATTTAAATCTGCATTTTCAGTTGCAGGCGGAGTCATTTCTGTATTCTTCTGTCTGTCAATGCACTTCAGTTTCATTTAAAATGGCTGATTGTCAGATATTGAACAAAATTAATGTTCAAGCTGGATAGAGTTTGCTCCGCAGCACTAAGTGAGCATCATTTACCCATTATTCTTTGCGGCGTAAATAACAGCAAAGTGTGTGTGACAATATTTTAAGAAGTCTCAGTTTTATAGTTGAAGTCAATTAATTTATGTCTAATGTTACAACTAGCTGGAGTTCCCTTTACATTTAAAAATAAATGAGTCATTACTTGTGGTGAAGTTAACTCAAAGGCAACAAATTACTTCTTTAATTTCATCAAAACAGTTCTTTGTAACTTTGTAGGACGACCATATTCTGAATGACTGTAAACTTTCACCTTTACTTGAGTTTTTGTGTAAAGCATCAACAGTGGATGTAAAGGCTTTATTCAGCACGTTTTATAAATATTGCAAAAGAAAAGGGTTTTTTTAATCACAGATGGATAAGAAAATTTGTCTTGTTTTGTATAAACCTGATGCAGGTTCGCTTTGACAGCATCGGAGGCCTGAGCAAACAAATTTCAGCACTAAAAGAGATGGTGGTGTTTCCTCTGCTTTACCCAGAAGTCTTTGAGCGGTTCAAGATCCAACCACCCAGGTAAATGATGTGTTTTTATGTCAAATGGGACGTGGTCGGGATCCTTTTTATAGATAAACTTATCACTAACTGGAACCAGAAAAATGGAGCCTCATTTTTCACCACTTTAATTATTTTTGAATATTTTTAATGAAGATAGAAAAAAAAGCTTAAATTTTCAGTTCATCTCTGCACAATCAAGCGCAATTTTTAACTAATTTTGATGTGTCTGATTTTTAATTGTTGATATCTAAATGCTCAAGGGTTGTGGACTGTCACCCTCCTGAATCTTGAAAAGCCACAGCAAGAACAGGAAGAATTTTTTTCTTTCATCAATAAAAGAAGGCTGCTGCAGACACTTGAGTAGGTGTCAGATATGCTGTCTACTAGGGCTGGGCAATATGGATAAAAAAAAAAATCTAAATTTTTTTTTTCATTTGCCGATCTCAATAATCTGACGATATTTTTCTTTCTTAAAG